CACCCAACATTTATTGGGTGCAGGACTTTAAGAAAGTAACATAAATGAGTCGATGGGTTATGATGATGGTTTACTATGCTAAAAAACAAAAAATTAATAAAAATATGCAAGGATAATTTATAAAAATATGTAAGTTACAATATACATATGAAAAAAGAAAGAAGAATTACCTAGCCCAGTATTCTTTTAAGTTTTTTTTTATTTATATAACAAGTTTATAATGTTTTATGTAATTTTGAAACAGTGAATAAAAATCACTTTTTAAAAATGTTTTCTTCTATTATTATATAGAAATAAAACGTTTTGAAAAGTTTTTATCAAAGTTTTAAAGTTCCCTAAAAAATGTAACCTTTATATAAAAAATATTTATCTGTTGTTTTTATGTATAAATCACTATTTTGTTCATATGTCTTATAGTATGTTCTTATATGCATGTATATATTTTATAATTACATACATTATGTATAATATATATTATATATATATATATAATATATATATTTATATATATATATATATATATATATATATATATATATATTATATATATATATATATATATATATATATATATATAATATATTTAGACCTGCCTGATTGCTTGCCCCCTTTGGCAGGTCTTGGAAATGGTCTTAGGGAAATTAGTGTCTAGCATACGAATAATTAATTCAGTTGAAGTCAAAAGATATTTAAAATAAGTATTTAAATTGTTTTAAAAAAGATTCATAAAATAAAAATCTGGGTAACAGTAACTTCTTAAAAATTTCAGAAAATGTCCACTAAGTTTAATAACTGATTTTTTTTGTCAAAGTAGCTAAAAATTTATTGATAAGAACCATGAATAGTATAGTATAGTATATAATATATATATATATATATATATATATATAATATATATATATATATAATATATTATATATATATATTATATATATTATATAGTTTAAAACATTTTTTCACAAAATATAAGGAAAAGCTTTGTTTTGTTTGCAGGATTTAATGGAACTCAGCTGTTGTGAAAATCTCGAAAATCTCTCTTCTAAGTTATTAATTATACTTGAAGATGTTTATAAAGAAAGTTTGGTATTATTTGATTTTATGTTTTTTTTTTGCATTTTTATTGTTTTTTTTTAGGTTGTTTATTAAGTCACTATAGAAATTCTTTTTCCTCCATTCTATACTCATTTGTTGAACAATAATTTCTATCTCCATTCTATACTCATTTATTGAACAATAATTTTTATCTCAATTCTATACTCATTTATTGAACTATAATTTTTAAATTTTGATAATTTTTGAAAACATTCATTAATAGCTTAAGTAAAAGCTATAAGATGTGATGTCTATAAACAAGAAGCCCTAAAAGCATTTTATTTACACAAGTAAAGAATTAAGGCTTATTGCATTTAAAATCATTAACATGTATTATTTAAAAAATAATTACTTGGGCTTATATGTCTTTATTCATTTTTTTTTAGTTTATTATTTTCTATTTTTACTGTTATTTTGTATATTTTCATTCATATTTTACATAGTATTGGAATTTTATAGGATTTTATATGGAGTAATTTAATTTATATTGTTAATTTTTATTCAATATAATTTTAATATCTTAATTTCTTATGACCTCTTTAGATATGCTAAATTTAATAATAACCTTTTAAGATTATATGGTAATAATGTTAATAGGGTGTGTCTATTTTTGACATTTTAAATTTAGGACAAATAAAATTTGGGATATATATAAGAGTTGCAAAATTTTATGTAGAATCCAAATCTGATTAAATTTTTTAAATCAGAAAAATATTCATTTATGTGATTAGCCTTTTTATGAAAGTATAAACAGTTTTTGTTTTCTTTTAAACAGAATAATGATATTACTGGACAATACTGTCCATAAAAAAAAGACTTTTAAAAAATAAAACAAAGTTACCTTTAGTTTATAAAAATTTTATTTAACTTAATATGTATAAAATATTTTGAAAAAATTTTGTATTAAATGAGTAAAATAACTTTTAAATTCTCAAAATAATTTATGTTTTTTTTATCTTAATGGTGGTCAGTAAATTATTTTTTCATTGCCGCAGTAGGTAAACAACTGTAAATTGTATATTAAGTAGAAATTTAAGAACTTTTAATCAATTGCTTTCATTCTTATAATATTAAAAAAAAAAATTTCATTTCTAAACAATAATAAATTTTCTTTAAATGTTTTATAACTTAAAGGATTAATGGAACCCAAAAGCAGAATAAACACTAGTACACAAGTCAGTGTTGTATTTGGTACAGAAAAACCATTTCTAGTTTCAGAATTATCAACCAACAGAGAAATTATAAGATATGGAATTTTATTAAGAGAGGACTGTGAAGACATAAAAAAAAAGAAAATATCCTGTAAAAGAGATGTCCAAAGATATACTTAAAGCTTTATTACACCAGCGGTCGAGTGCAAATTTGGAATTTACATCACCTAAATTAATTACTGACAAAACAATTTGTGATAAAATAGTGACATTGTGGAATAACACTTCAGCAATAGCTTGTCTAAGAAAAAAAGGAGCTAAACAAATAATAAACTTTAAAGAAAAACTTGATAAACTTTTTGATGCACTAGTATGCAAATATCCAATTGTAAAATGCGATAATTTTATTTGTTCTGATGATTCTGTTAAAGAAGTTCATTATAAATGCAAATGTATCAAAGAGTACAAAATACCATCTATTAATGTTAAGTTATATTTTTTTAAAGTGTTAAAACTGGAACTGTTAGCAAGCTTCAAATTTGGTTACCTGATAACATTGAAACCGGGAAACAGTTCAAAAGATTACGTTCAAAAGATCGAAAAAAATGTTTTGAGGATAAAGACAACTGTTATTTTAATTAAAAAAAAAAATCGAGTCGAATGAGATGAACTATCAAAAAGAATGTGATTTTAGTAATGAAATAAAATTAAATGATGACAATGTGTGCTAGAGAAACCATCAGAAAAAAAACAAAAGTGTTACAATACCTTAGATATTTCACACATAGCTATGAATAGCGGGTATCTAAGGTATTGTAACACTTTTGTTTTTTTTCTGATGTTTTCTCTAGCACTAGAGGTAATTCTACATTAGTAATATCATCATTGTCATCATTTAATTCTATTTCATTACTGAAATCACTTTCTTTTTGATAATTAATCTCATCTGACTTGATTTCTTTTTTTTTGATGCAGGATTAATAACATCTGATGATAAAAAGTTAGTTATTGACCATAGTAAAGTTTCAACAGTGCAAGAAAGTCTCTGATCTTAAAAGAAATGAAGTGTATATTTTTTTGGTGGGAGAATTGATCAAACCAAGTAAATGATTGAATTTGATGACTCAAACGCAAAATTTCCAGTAACTGTGAAAGAAGAACATTACTCTGTTTGTATGGAACCTGGAGGAAAATATTTATTTCACTTTACTGCTGAAAAAGTAACAAAAAGTATTAAACATGCAGAGATTATAGCAAACAAAATTGTTGAATGGTTAACAGAGAGAGGTATTGACAAGTCTTTATTGGCTGTTATTGGATAATCTACAAATGTAAATACTGGTTGGGAGGGTGGAGTCATCAATCATATAGAAAAAAAACTTGTTTGGCTTATATGTCAACTCCATACAAATGAGTTGCCACTGAGGCATCTTATAACTAACTTAGTTGGTCAAACAAAATCTAACAATAAATGGTCTGGTATTATTGGGTCCATGCTTGATCTGGCTGTAGATCTATATATAATTCCAGTATTTGAAACTATTAAAATTGGTAATCCACTTTTTTCTCTCGATGATAAAATAATAAATGACTTGTCTGTAGATAAATTTTATGGTTATAAAGCTGTTTGTGCCTTTAGAAGTGGTATTTTACCACTGAAATTTCATTTATTACAAATTGGGCCTGTTTCACATTTAAGATGGTTAACTACTGCTAACAGAATATGTAGAAAGTGGATCTTTAAACATAGAATTCAAGGTAAAGAATAAGAAAATTTAAGGTCACCAAGTACATTGTGGGTGTTTATTTTTCTTGTTGGTTTAAGATCAAAGTTGAACATTCTTGAATTGAACTAAACATGTACTTTACCAACTGCAGCAACTCAAACTTCAAAAAGATGTCATTAAAACAGTATCACCCTCTATTCAAAGATCAGCTTAGTTTTGTTTCACTGAGTGTATACTTCAAACATTGTTGTGTTCTAATACTGAAGAGGATAGAAGTGTAGCTGTTAACATGATAAAAGATATTAGAGGTACTAGAAATGAAAATCTACAAAAAGGTGATTCTCCTTAGATTCTCCTAGACCAAGAAAAACTCCTGCTCTAAACTTTAATGCTAAAAAATTCGTAGACCTAATATCATGGGAGTCACCGGTTTATGAACCAGTCTTAACTACCTCTCTAACAACTTCTGAAATTAATGTGTTTTTATCAAATCCTATCAGGTGCTGAATTGGGCATGTCATGGTCAATCTGTTGAATGTTGTGTAAAGTAAGTTACTGAAGCTTCAAATAGAGTGTACACTTATGAAAAGAGAGAGGAATTTGTCGGAAAGTTATTGTATAAAAATAATAGTAAACAAGACCTTGAAAGTTTGACATAAATGTTTTTGTATTAAATTTATAATATTTATTAAAACAATTTGTTTGTTTTTTTTAAATATCTTGCTGTATTTCTAACATCAATACCAATAAAATTGTTTCATGATGTTATGCCAAACTGTATTTTAATACATTGAAAAATATTTTTATATTTATAAATTAATCTCAATCTAGTTTCAGTTTTAAATTATTATGCATATTAAAATTTAAATTCAAAGTCTAATTTTTAAATAAAAATACTTCTTTTAAATTTTATACAAGTTCTTAAAGAAAATATATTCATATTAAAATTAGTTTTAATCAACATTTATATCCCAACTGATATTTATCAAATAAATTAAAAAAAAAAGCTTATTAATGTTTATGTTAAAAC